CATGTGCGTGCCTGTGCGGCTAAAAAAAAAAAACACTACCTGGCCATGCTTGACTCCCATATACACTAGCCGGAGTAATCGGCGAACAAGCAGTGCTATCTACCTATACTACAATCGACATATATCTATATCTACCTCACTTACTTGCACTCGACTCGTGTTAATCCGACGCACGCTTCAGAATCTGCACGAGCGATTGCCGGCTCTCCACTATCCGGCCACACTCGCTATGGACATCTTTTCTACTTCTAATAAACCCGCGGCGTTCAACACGGTCCCAGAGCATGCGGCACGAGATTCTTCTCGATGGTAGATGCTATCGGTGTAGGTACTGTGCACAGGCGCAGCCAACGAGCTTTCCCAGACTATCATCTTTGTGGTGTATATTTTCGTGTGTCGGCTGCGTGCGATGATGGTGTCTTCGATACGGCACATCAACTATCTTATGCACTGAACGCTGTTAACCCGTCACTAGAACACCATACTTTTACCTTGTTGATTTTGTGAAATGCTGGTTATTATCGATCGCTCGTTCGCTGCCACCCTTCGTAATTATCAGATGGTAGCCTGACTAGCTTCGAACCGGTGTCTATTTATGCAGATCTCTATCACGTGTTTATAAAAACAATTTAAGATAACGCAACGTGGATTAAACTGTCATCTGGTTACATGTACAAATGTACTAATTATCTCGAATATAATGTGAACCTCTTTTTTTTTACATAGTATATTTAAATTAAGCGCTACTGAATGAAGGTACCACTGTTACATATGTGAATTCAGCGTCTTCCTTGCTTAGATGTTCCAGTTACAAGCATCTATAGGAAGTAGTGTTAAAAGTTGATGTAGAACAGGTAATTTCAAGTTTCACAAGTTGACAATAGCCGCCTCTTTGCCTTGAGAAAAACAGCACTTAAAATGAATAAAAAACCATGCTACAAGAAAAAATCAATTGTTCTTTTAACCACTTCGGATCAATGTCGACCTGTTCAGTAGAGGTAAATGTGACGGCCATATTTTGATATATCATTGCCACACGTAAATTTGACCCATAGCGCTACCATTGGAAAAGCACATTGAAAAAGCAGGCACTATTGTTGATTGTCTTCGTTAGAAAGATATTAATTACTTCATTTTACACACAGACGGCGTGCGGGAAGCTAAAGCTCTACTATGATGGCTTAGAGTGCAGCATCGCACAGGATCCCATGAAGTTGAATTCGTTTAGCTCAATCGTTCATTTCCTACCGCTTCATTGGTGTTCAAATTTAGACTTCCGCCGATCTTCTAATACTGGACCGCCCAGAATGCCTAGCTCGGCACCGTTTGAAGAGCCCGAAAACTTTTAGAATTTGATTCAATGATGATCAGCAGAATAAAACAGGCTCACGGCCCGCGCCTGCGATGACAAGAAACGAGTTCACCCAAGGATTACGAGCGAAGCTACAGATGCGGTAAGTCCATAGCGGCTCGCCAGTTGTGAAACAGTCACCCAGTCGATGAACTATCCGGCTTCAACGGGAGGCGAGGTGGGGAGAGCGTTCGACGATGACGACGACCATCATCACCACCACGCACAAGAGCTAAGCGGCTTATCGCTGGTGTGGCGAGAACGGCGTCTGAACCAGTGACGGGAATAGCAAGTCGATCAGAACGCAATGAAGTCCAACCAGGACTTCATATAAACCTCAGTGAAGGGGCGCGCGCGCGCGCGCGCGCGCGCCTTGCCATCGGTACAAAAAAGAGCCATGCGAATTAGATCTGTGAGGACCTTTCGAAGTTACGCGTGAAAAGAACGACGAGTGTTTCTTTTTCAAGAAGTAGTTGTACGAGTAATAACCCATCTAAACAAAATTAAGTAAAAGATGAAGGAAAATAGAAACTACTATAATTTACACTGTATTTGGTCAAATTGTATATGCATATGTTGACAATCATCTAAGAACAATTCTATATATTGGATAGCGTGGCAGAGAACTTGGAGAGTTGAACGAAGAAGCCTTTGCAATATACGACTAATGTTCGTTTATTACATACAAATACGGCTTAACGAGTGATAAATCACACAGTGATTCACAGACATGTCCTCTTGTGGTAGCAAACTGTTCTATGTGGCTTCGTTTTTTATCAATCCAGATACGGATTGAGGGCAATTTAAATAAGTCAAATCGTCAACCATCAGCCAGACGCTATGACAACGTTCGGCGTATTACGTATCAGATTGTATCGCCAAGTTCGTCAACGTTACATGGAATATGGCTGTTTTGTACCCCTGTCCATTCGAGTTTATAGGCTGTTACTTTAACGAGTGAGTTGTTCTTTCTATCGTCGCCTTCCTCAGCTCTGATCGAAGTTCACCCCGTGGGACGCTTGCCAAGTTGCCATCTAATATCCACAGTCGCGCAAACGACGCTTGACAAAATGAAGCTTATACTTTTGTCAGTGCTCACTAGTTTTATCAGTTCTAACTCTTTTAAGCGTTACGATTTAGTGCGAGATCACTTCCCTAGAAAAACTCAGGGGAAAGCAATAGATATTGACTAGCTGACAAATATGGACCAATACGACCACTTATTCTATCGGTGGAGGATTTTCAACCTGAACAATTGAGGTTAGTTTAAGCTGCTGTGTATATAAAGCGTTCAGGCAGTCTGCTGATAAATACGGCTTCATTGGAGGCTAAATGAAGCTGATATAGCAGAATATGAAGGTAGAACTGTACCTAACTATAAATATGGCATCAGAGATTCGGTAAAACAAAAGACGCAACCAACTTATCTTCTGCTGCGGTCGACTGTGAGCGTAGTAGCGTCATAACAGACGCTAGAATATTTTCAATTTTCCCATAAGGCCCATTTCAGATAAAGAACGCTTGTATTTACCGTAGTAGCTTTCGAAATGCGTACTACGAGAATGAATTTTCTTTCACTAGCCGGCCACTATTTCTGGGATACTTGACAACGGCCAATTTCGTTAGGTCTAAAAGAGACCTACGAGTACTTAAGACCTAATTAGCCTCATATGATCACGAAATAACCTTTCGTGAACACATCTTGTAATTGTTCTAGTTCAACTGTACAACTCATCTAATTTTGTAGATGATCGCAAAAGATTAATGAAATCAAAGCGCGACGTGCTCTTCGATTGCCTGCATGAGGACCTAAACATGGTTTTGTCCTACCTTTGCTTTTGAATTGTGTTGTATCTTGAGGCACAAAGCACTTTTGAAAATGGCGATTATATGACTATACTTGGCGATGACAATATAGCTTTAACAACTTAAATAATATTTATATATGTTACAGGCCTATTTTTGGAATTCTCCCTCGTAGCCACGTTAAGCCTTGCGTCTACCCCATAGACAGCTCTTGATAATGGTGTTGTCTTCAGTGGGTAGCCCAATAATCGGATGGGGAACAAACTGTCGTATCCTGAAAAGGAAACGCCTGGGGCATCCTCTAGTTCCTATGTATCTTCGGTCGACTGGCAAGCTACTGATCGCTTTAGCTGTCGACTCCAACCGTGCCTCGAGTTTAGATTCCTCCAGGCTGATTTATAACTATTCCGTTGCTCGTGTCTGATCTAGACGTAGCAGAATTTCATAATGACCAAGCTCGCATTTTTTTGTAGAATAGTCTCTATTAAACTAGATAAATGGACATGTTCGTCAGCATAACATTTCCTTCTTTATTATAATAACTTCTAAGTAAAAGAAGACTTAGTAAGTTAAATTTTCGACACAACTACTGCTTTATGTTTGACCGTAGCTTGTCCCATACTTGAACCTATTCAAGCAGAAAAAACAATCTGTCAAAACAGTACCCACTGTTTGAGGACAGAAACGATCGACTTTCGCTAGTTAAGATGTTTCGTGTCTCATGTTTTAGACAGGTTTTCGTGACGCCCCTTAGCCTTTGTCGTGCCGATGTGAGATGCAACGCCCCCAATGAATGAACAAATGATATCCCCTTTCGTTTAGCTAATGCAGATCACAGCGGGAGCTTGAAGTTGGATTTGTTTTATTTTTCCAAACGCGTGCCTCAGTCACCGGCAGTTGTCACCAGCGATTATGCCGATTCGAGTGTATGAACTTCGTCCGGACTTCACACACAAGGCCCTACTTCGAGGGCTGCTTGACATCTAGTCGATGCAGTCGGGCATTGTCCGCTTCGCCCTTCTGAAATCCCACATTCACCACCTCAGAGCACGTGACTTTAACGATGCTGATGACACTCGTGCGGTATTGGCAGTAGCCTGTTCGTCCCCGGAACAAGCTGCCTACGGCAGATCACTCATCAGCGGATCACATCCCTTGCATTTTCTTTTCTTTGCTTTCAGCCCCTGCGCTCGCCTCGCTTCTTGGCAGAACTACGTGACGGGAAGCCAGATATCTGCTGCCAGAGACCTACATCTGCATACCATGAAATAGTATGACATTTCGACAGTGCGGATCGTCGCAGCCCTTGCCTCATCTCTACTGGACGCTCTAGAGAGATCAGACACGGGCGTTAGGCTAGGCGGCGTCCGCTGCGAGGTGAAAACGCTTCAACGAGATGAAGTCGTCATGAACTGTCAAGTTCAGACGTTGTCAGACACGTGGACGGGCCGCCGGCAGCTTTGCGCCTCTAACGTGGTAACGGAGTCTGCTATCTTCTGACCACAACCATACTTCAAGTGGGGGCGGCACGAATCGGACGGAGCGCGATCAGCAGAACATCATCAACCAAAGCTGCTCTAAGCGACTCATCGCTAATCGAACGCTCCATTTCTATACAGTCGCCGTGGACACATTTAGACGGAATGTTCCTAGGCTCCTTTAGGTCACCCTGCTGCGCCTGGTTGTTCTACCCCCAAAAAAGCCTTTAGTCTAGCGATTAGCTCAACTGCCGCTGTTGGTGCAGAGTCGTCGCGCAGTCACAACATCGTCTCGACCGAGCATCGGCCACACGTGATCCTACCCAGTTATTGGGCCTGTGTTGTTGTTGTTTGCTGTATTGCGGCTCGCCCGCACCCACGACGATGGTTATAATGGTGATGTGAAATTACAATACTCAGATGAAGCAGGGACGACGCGGAAAGTACTACAGCTAGAGAAAAAAAAAAAAAAACAATAACAATAGCGACAAACGCAGAGATGTTAACAGGAATAACAATAGCGACATAATTTAGTACACCTTTTGTTATTAACATGCAAACTAATGTGTGTATAGTGTATATAGAAAACGTGTAAAAAAATCTTATACTGGGTTTCTAATGTAGAAAAACGGCAAAACTATTGGGTAGCCTTTTTACGCCACATTCGAATCCTCTACACGTACATCTATGTCAATGCTGATGGTAGCATTAGTTAATGTTGTAACTGTCTCAATCATTGAAATGTTTTAAGTCCATTGTAACGGGAGCCCATTTGAAGAGCTAGAATTACTGATACACGTACACAAGGAAGCTGTTGGCAGATAGTTACTCGGAACGGGAAGCTTAAAGAGCATGAGGAAAAAAAACAGCAAGTTTATAAATATTTGCGGTAAACCTATATGCGGAAAATCGTTAGAGAGTCTTTACTATGTTAGCTAAGACCGAAAGATACGGCGTGTAGGTCGGGCGAGAATCTCTGGTTGTCATTCTCATAGTGCGTTAATTTTTGGCCTTCGATGAAAAAGCTTTCATTCATGGAGTTTACTGTTCATAGTTCGCGTGTATGATGATAAATGGTTTGTATTTGCTCCACACTTTCTTACTATTCTTTGCTTCCAGATGTTTTCAGTTCACAGCGACGTAATTGATACTGTGTTTCGCAGTAAATTCAGTTGAAACAGCCCGCGATTATGCAAAACAGCACATATAAGCAGTTCGACCTTCTGCCCACTAGGGCATATATTACATATGATGATAGGCCCATAACGCAAAATCAAAATATCTGTCAAATATGCTACCCGACCACCCTGAAAATACAACAGATTGCGTGAGCATTGGGAAAGGTGCGTGCACCCATTATTGTTATTGCCATTCTTGTTATTATTACATTGGGTAAAACGAGAGAGACAAAGAAATGGCGTTATATTCGTAAACACAGACTTTATAACGTGTTATTTATAAATTACGATGTGACACATAAATGTACCACTGTACCTTAGATGATGTACCCCTCGGTTTCAGGATTGGCCTCCATGGCGCTGAAAAGACCGAGAGAGAAATAGGACAGATTGTATGTGCACACGCAGATAGAATCTGTCCTATTTCTTTTCCTAGAATCGGCAGACTCGAATGGAAGAGGAGCATATATGATCTTTTTTATAGACTTTTGTCATACAACAGTATGTTTCCAATATATTAGCAGACATATCAATAAGTCGCTTACTTGATACTATCTACGGATATTTGCAAGCATTTGCATGACGATGGATTCTCCGGATTATGAAATTGTCATTCGTAATGGAACGTTTGTAACAGTCCTGACGTTTACTGAACGTCCTTGCATACGGTTCGCCCTTAACCAATCTAGTTAGCACCATTGCGTATTTCGGCTGTATGCGTCCTTGTTGTCCTTTGCTATAGATTCACGCTTTTTTTTCAACGCCTCAATCAGCTCTAAGGCAGATTCTTTGCCATGTATACATATACTCTAGTTTAGTACAATATTTCGCTGTGATTTATATGGTGTAGAATATTATTTCGCTTCCCTTATGACCGACGCTGCAAAAATACTTCCATTTCAACGCAATTTTCTGTAGAGTGTCCTTTGAAGGGCATTCGTAGTTCAATTGTCATTTTGTTGTCCCAGAATATTTCATCGTGGCAAACATTTACCTTGGACGCAATCGTTACCATTCGTAGATTAGCAGATAAAGTTGTTGAAGGCAGCATTAATTGCTTTCGCAAACGTGGAATGGCTTAAAAGTGCCTCTCTAAAAATCGTTCTTACCTCATCGTGCTTGACGAGTATCCGCCGCCATTGCCATACGAACGCGTCAACTGCTAATAGTTAACATAGGTAATATTCGTTATTTCGCACTTCCGTTGTAGCTTCGTTTCCTGTTTCATCTAGACGCCCCGAGGATCCTGACGCTGTCACTGTTGCTAGTGTCCGTATTTTTCGCTACATCTGCCCCGTTGCAGCGGCAGCTGTGAACATTTGTGCAGTCAAGAGAGACTGACTCCGCTAACTATTTTAGTTCTACTATTAGAGAAGCGGTCCTAGCAAAAAGCATGGTTCGAGCTAGGGAGCACCGTTCGCGCTATGTCTCCATGACCTCCTCTAGCTCCAGAATGCCTATCGCTACTTTTGGCAATGGCGCTCCTGAATCAGGACTTCCGTTTTGTAGTTACGGTTCTTCCCTACACGTTGACCCGATAAAAATAGGAAACGACCGGCAGACTGGAAAACTTACTGCCGCGGACTGCCCTAATGCAGTGTAAAGCGGAGGCTGGGATGCGCCAATTTTTCGGTGAAAACTTTCGACAAGTTTAGGCGTCCTTCATTTTTATAGGGCTCATATCATATATGCATTTGAATTTTGATTAACAAACGATAAATTGCGATAGCAGAATCTGACTGTAAACAATATTGCGAATTGGAGTAAATTGAAGAGAACTTTATAGGTTATATAAGCTGTTTACGCTAGTTTAATTCTTCTGTTAAACAAGAAATGACAGAGACATCGCCAGAATCGTTGAGTCGTGGGAGTTCTCCAGAAAGTACGTAATAATCCACGCACCTCGCACATTTGTCGATATAGCCAAACCAATTTATTACTACTTACCGATACATACACAACCTAAGCCTATATTCTACGAATTTCCTTTCTCACCGCGAGGCACATTAAACGGGCACTTCATCAACGTAAGCGCCATTGCCTTCATCCCCACCCGTCTGGTCCCGTTTTGTCACTTCATTCAACCGCCCGTAAAGCTACTATAACACGCCAAGTTTGCAGGACAAACGCGCAAGTTTCGGGCGCCAGTAACGTCCACAGCGGGCGAGTTTGAAAATAAATCACTTCCGGTTCTCCGTCAGCCCACTAAGAAGGATCGGAGTCAGACATCAGATCGTATGTATGCGTATATATGACTGTTTGAGCAGAGTCGGCGTGGGACGTGGCCAAGCGCCTGCCGGACAGGAGGTAAGGACGATATGTGCGGGGAGTCTGAAAACGAAGAGGCGTATGGAGGAGGAGCGAGAAAGAGCGAAGAAAGGGACAAAAGTGTGACGCGTCATGTGCCGCTCACGGACGCAAGAGCGGATGCAAGCATAGCCATCACTCATAGAGGGCGGTCGAGCAGGCGAGGCAAGCGGCTGCTTTGGTGCCGCTACAGCGAACGCCGCCGTAGTACAACGATCAGGCCAGCACACGACCGACCCAACAACGACACAGCAACATCCCGACTAGCCCAAGCCCCCCAAACTACCCTTCAGCCACCGACTTACTTTTTCATTTTTGTCGTCCACCCTGCTACCCTCGAATATTTCCCCTCGAGCGAACCGACTAGCCTGACAGGCAGTCAGGCCTCTACCACAGCTTGATTTTGGCTTTCCTTATTTACCACCCGTTCGCAGGCCCTCGTTTCCCTCTCTGCCTGTCCCTCGATAGCCCCAGACGGTATTCCGTTCTGATTTCGTCCTAATATCTCCGCCCTTTGCTGTCTCTCTCACTTTCTCTCTCTGTCCTGCGGTTCTCCACCACTCGCAAGAACCGAGACAAGATACGGCCAAGTTAGTTGCATGAACAACCAGGATCAAAACGACGGTGATGATGATGGAGCTTCCCTTTATTGGAGAAGTAGTCTCTGGTATAATCCCCTCCCCGCAGTCCGCTACTGCTCAGCACCTCTCTCTCTCCTTCCCCTCATCCGTTTGGGTGAAAGTGCCGGCTCGCCCAGGCTGGTTAGCCCAACGAAAACCGCCGCCCTCCACCAGGACTCCCCTGCTGCTAGTCGTCTCTAGTGGTTCGCTCTGATTTTTACCATAGCACGCCGTATATACTGTGAGAATAGAGAGGCTCGCAGGGCGAATGTTCTAAGGAGAAGTGAGCCATGCGCGCGAAAAAAGGAGCTAGGTGAACCCGGGACGAACTCAGCCCGGATGGTTTGTGTGGGGGTGATATGTCATATTCATATTTGCCCGAACCCCCGTCTTCCTGCGTTCCACCAACGCGGAGTCACCGCCGGTATCCTCCTCAATTCTCCGGGTACAGTGGCATCTTTGGCCTGACCGCGCCCACCTAGAGGCAATAACGCTCCGTGGGTTGTTACATGGGTTAGATGCGACAATGTGGCAAAGGCACATGGAACAAGGGTGACAGGGGGCGTCGAAAGCGGAGGGATACTCAGGTCGTGCTACTGTTTCCACTAACTCTCCTAACAACAAGGCCAGACATCCACAGAATTAGAGCCACAAACAGAAATGGAACCAAAGAGTTAAATGAAAGATGGGGCCATAACACAACATGAGATCCATATGCCAGGAAGACACGATGACATCCCGGACGAAGCGGGTGAACACCAGCAAACCACCCAACGATTAGAAGCAAAGGACAGTGATTAAATGGTGGGAGTTGGAAAGTTACAAATGAATTAAACTTGGTAAGGGCATTTGTCTAAAGCCCCCGAGCTTCCGTAACGGCCTCCCTTCCAAAGAACAGTGCTAAGCTAACAGCAATACTGGCTCTCGTACGGTGTTAACTCATCGGTACGCCATACGCGGGGTTTTAAACAGAATAGGATCATTCGAAATAAAAGAGTAAATAGATGAGACCTGACCGGAAGGGGTCACCGTGGCCGTCTGTCCGCGCTATCGTTGCTGCTGTTGTTTCTATTTGGACTGCCATCCGTGGTCATTTGCCAACCATCCGCATGCCTCATCCATCTATTTTGAATCGTTATATGGGACAAAGCGAAAACAACCGAGTGAGTGGACCAGGCCTCTCCGATGACCAATCACAGCTCGTTTGTCAAGCTCTCTCAAAGCTCACTTATGTTCGGGCTATTGTACGCGCGTTTGGGTACCCACTGTACAAAGAAAAATTAACACATTAACGGCTCCTGATATGTACATTCAATATCCTAAGCAGCTGAAATGTCACCGTGTCAGTGCGCTAAGTTGTGGGATCAATTTGTCTGTATGAATCTGGACAGATTCGACTGATGTATAGATAATCAGCTATAATTAGCAGTGTATTAATAATTATAATTAGCAGTATATAATTTTAGCAATTATATTTATAAAAAATAATTAAATGAATAAATATTGGAACAAGTCCAGAAGCATAAGCTTAATTCACACAAACAATAAACAAATGGCAATCGAATACATCATTTTGCTAGGCTTAAATGGGTGCAAGTTTCCAACAATGTTCATTTGCAGAGCCTAGAAAAGAACTCATTAACTATCGATACTTCAGTTCCGAACCGAGATAGTAGATATCGTAATAATCTTCTATCGTATGTTATGACCTCTAGTCTGCTCTCACACTAACGTCAGGTGTTTTTTTATCTGGAAATTTACGTACAAATAAATGTAGCCATCACGATACAGTACTTCAAAGTATAGTGCACTGCATCTTACTGACTTCGCCTAATACGAAGAGATCTCACAGTAAATATAACACAGATCCAGTAAATCCACGGTTTCCGGTGGTGCAAGTCAACAAACAACGCCTTATGAGCACCTTTACGCCCATTGCTTCGCCCCAAAGCTTCCCACTTAAACTTACCTGTTGCACTGTCCGACTTAGATCCGAGCGCAACCTCTAATCTTGCGCAGATGCCACGAGATTATCTGGCGGACTGGCGAACTCTCAGTGCTAACACTGCGACAAGAGACATTGGAACGGGGGCGTAACCGAAAAGAATCAGATTTCCCTGCATCAAAGCGACCGTCGCCTTAACAGCAGGGAAACCCCAGCGGAGCTTGAGATCGGGAGTGATAAAGCCTCGCCAGGGGTAATGGGGCTCTGTTGCCGCACAAACGCGTGGCGGTGGACTTCGAAGTCGGCGGGATTTTCGAGTTTTTGAGAAATCTGAGACAGAAAGCCTCTTGTCCTGGCTCGAGTCCAGGACATCGGCGACAGAACAGTTAACACCGAGCATATCTTTCAGAAACTGATTATTGTTACATCACAAAGTCAATTTGTGCATGTGTGTGCCACAGCTCAACGAACTTTGCCGGGCTAACAGTTGATTTACTAGTCTCTGGTAATTTCACGAATGGAAAGCGTTTGGCTTCCAAGCCTAAACAAAAGAATAGTTTTTACGCTAAGACTATCAAAAACAGAATTGTAGAGTAGATTTCTTGACATTCAACAATTTTAGATACCAGTTGCGTTGCGTTTCTTTGTGGTTTGTACTAGACCAGAAAGTACGACAATCGGTATCATTGGCGGTCGTAGTTCTAAACATTAATTGATGCCATATGGACAAAAGGGGGTCTGAACACAATAACGCCAGGTTCTGAAAAAAGAAGTCTGAACAAAGTTGGTTTCAATAAATCGAGTTAGATAGAGTATTCGTATTGAATCTTTCGTAGCAAATAGGTCTATATATTATGTTATTGTTTGAACACTGACGTCTATGTTCACACGGCTTAAGCGTAATTCTAGTAGCAAATTTACCTTCTAATACCATTTTGCACACCCCTTAGCATAAGTAGTCTGCGGTCTACAGCCTAAACGTCACTATCGAATAGCGCTCAATCATCGGGATCTACGAAAATAATTGCTGGTTACACCACCTTCGTTAGCGCTGTACCACCTTGAAGACAACCGAGTCCACGACCAGCACGCCTTCAATTAGCCTATCATAGCACTATTATCTGTCGTTTCCATACGAAGAAGGAGGATGACAGGGTTCACAAAATGGAAAGAGGTAGACGTAGTGCAAAAGAACATTTTTCCTAATTATGGGTTCCCCTCCCTGCTGTAGAAACATCGTGTACCGCACCACATCGTTTATAGATCCATACAACATTCATTCGTAGCTCTCAGAAGCATCTACTTGACAGAAATATGTTTCGACTCAAGAGATATATTTGAATAGTTCTACTTCAGTGTGGCATCATCGTCAAGGTAGCATCTACCTAGTACAGGCCGGTGACAGGCAGTCATCACGCGATAAAATAGGGGAGTGACTTCAATCGCTCGTTCGTCAGTGTATCTAGACCCTTGAAGCTTACACGTTTGGCATATTTATCAATGAAAGAAGGCGACGACCGAAATGTTTAGGGGGGAGGAATAGCTAATTAAGCTAATCCGCCACTCAAACACGCCAGTCTAACAATTGTGAAGGGTGGTCCTGGTAGACACCATAGAGGTCTCACGAGGACTTCATGAGTCTTCGGATACTTGTGGCACTTCTGCCGTTGATGCTGCTGTTTTAAGATCGATGTGATAAAGAGAGTTGAACTGGGCTTATCATAAACACATCACGAACAGGGCCCGCGCTTTGAGATGGTGATCAAATGATGCTGAAAATGAAGTCGAAGAAAGTCTGGGGTAATCAGGTAATGAACACACGACAGGTCGATCATCGTGTATTGCTACCGTTGTAGCTACTCTGGGTAGGACAAATTGATTGGCTGACAATCGTGCCAAATAGATTGTTTAGAGCGAAGTAAAAAAAAAAAGAACAGTTTTATTATGAGCGCCGGTGACGTAGTAGCTGACGGTTACGTGTACGAATATTGTAATAGTCTCTGCTGAAAATGAAATTACCTTCAATAAAATAGAAAAGATGATTATGCAAATTGAACTAGATCGTATTGATCAATTTATCTATAAACTATGATTCAACTGGCCTATAGATCTGCTGAGGCCTCATATGAATCATATTGTTAAAACGATATGGAAAAGTGTAAAGGACGATTGACTATGAACTTTGTTGTAGACTCTTAACCACTAATGGACGGATGTTTATAGATCAGATTGCATTCGTGTCTTTACTCTACGTCTTATCATGCTTGAATTTTTTTTTTTTTTTTTATCTATGGGTCCGAAATCCTGAGAGGCTAAATCAGGTTTGCTCAAAACACCGACCTAGGAAATCTACTCAACAGACATTAACTATTGAAAGTCATCTATTCAGCATTAGAACACCATTTCTGCGACAGCAACGATACTGTCGCCATACGTTATTCACAGCGGATGTGATATATCCCAAACAGAAGCAAAACGTCTTAAAAAAATCTGACTTACGTCACGTTGGGGTGATGATGATACACTTCGACGATGCACGTCTATAATGGGCACGAGACCGAGAGACAGACCGCCAACTGTTAAATCCAGAACCGGCGCCTATCGGCCTTTGTCGAAAAAGATCATCGTTGTTGGCGTTTAGCAAACGAAAGGCATCACAGCGAAATCGCTTAGGTCAAGCAAATGGTTTTTTCATCTTCTTGGTTACCTTGGCAATGGTAGCAGAACGTCTTACTTTGTCGCCCACCGACACAGCCGCCACTTGGTTATTTCTTACGCTCAATAGATCACAAGCCAGCACCGACTTGATAGCTGATGGTAAAGAGATCTGGCATTCGCAGACCCTCACTAGTCGATATTACTCACCTCTTCGAAGCATTCTGAAGTGCTTCTTTAGAATATCTCGGTGGGTCGTGTGCTTTTTCTTTGCCGCCTATACGGTACTATTAGTCAGCGTGAGCACATGGTACTTCTTTGTACGATACCGGAGTAGCACTTCGACGACAGGAGATGTATTTCAAAATCTTTAAAGTTTTTTTCCTTTGTTTCTTCAGCAATTACCAACTTAATGACTCTACGATGCTGAGGGATCCTTTCTCTCCCCAATGAACAACGACAATCAACTAATGGCCAATGTTCACACTGCAGACGATTCATAGAAAGAGATTACTGCGCAGCAGAGTCCGTAAATGTTCAAGAAGTAGTTTTTGTGCTATAGCACTTCACAGCTTAAAGCTTTTTTCGATGTATAGCATTCGCGTTCGGTTATCGAAACAAGCCTCATCTTGACCATTTTCCGCCGATACAAACGCTAGTGCCACCGCAGTCGAACCAAATAGCAAACGAAGCCTAATGAGTAGCTCATATGCTACCCTCATTGAGATATTAGTAGAGAGGCGGTGCCATTAGCAGTTAGGTGTGAACAGGACGGGTCAAACGAAGCGGATCACGAAAATTCCAAACTTTGCCCCCCTATGGGCACAGCTTCTCGCTGCTCGAAAGCGTTTAACTGGTCTGGTTACCACACGCCACACACGGCTTTTCACGTTGCGCTCACCAATGAATGAACGAAATCAGGAACGTTATGCCGCCGGCATTTTATTAAAGGTACTACGCTCTATTGTAAATCCGGTCGAAGTAAATGCCCGATTTTGATTTAAAAGAAATTGTTATATTAAGACAAAAAAAGAAAACCATCACATCGAGCCATAGGAAAAATTGTACTTCGCTACTTGTCCTGTTGTGTGTAGAGACACAATGTGTCGGATTTGTATATGTATTTCTTTCTCTTAAAACTAACTTTTCTCTTCTATTAAACTGCTTAGTGGTTGTAAAAACTTGCAGTGCAATATTTACCCGTCTTAGACCAGATTATAAGGTACAACTATAACAAATATAATCATGTTATACTTCAACAAGGTGTCCTGTAAGCAAAAAAGGTAAAAATTTTAATAACTCAGATACATTAAAAACAATACTGTTGTCAGAATTTAAAGATTCCTCTATGGAAAGAAAAATATGCGGATAAGCTTCCGGATTATCCAGATCCACTTTCTCAAACTGATCGCTCCGATGCAACTGCTACCAGACCCTAAGGATATTGTACTGAGCAGCAGCCCTTTCTACTTGCGAAATAGGTAATACGACCAATCGAGCTAATTAACTATACCAAACAGGCTATTTATTTATGCACGCTACATTACGAGACGAATGAATAAGGACAACCTTATTGATGCGCGCTTGTCGATAAAAATAGGCCATAGTTCATAAATAATTGAACGACTAAAGGAACTGCCTACTAGTGCTACTGAAATTGATTTGAAAGAGTCGTCGCTCGTCTGCCTTGTCGTCATAGTTTGTGGCCTGCGTGCAACTGTTACTAGTCTCCCGGAGCAGACCTCATGGGGTCTGAAATGGACTAGGGACTCGTCAATAGCGACGGCACTTTGAGACCTATCAGGATCCGGGGCGGGGTCGGAACGACATCCTCGACGCCCTAGCGACGGCGAGTGTCATCCCATTCTGCTAACTCTCCAATCTGCTTCCTCCGTTCTCTGAGCCGCCGTTCCTGAGCAGCCAACTCGCTCCTGACGGTCTGATCTGTCGACTCGCACCTACGGCGTTCGCACCTCTCTGTCTGTAGCTGTCTGGCTTGGTTTTCACTAAGTCTGATCTGATCTGATCTTGCTGGACTCCAGTGATCTCCATATAGCGGATTGGGCACGGACGCTATCAACAATGCCATAGCCAGGGCAGGGTATGTAAGACAGTAACATGGACACACTTTGACGGTAGCTTTCACTGGGGAAAATGTATTGTACTAGGTCCTTTAAATGACTCCAACTATTTATTTGGAAGTATTATACCTGTACATGCTACGAACCCTTTTATTTCAATTGCTGTGTTTTTATGAGACACCCGATAGGTGCGCCAACTTCTCCGTTAACATCAAGCTTCAAAACGTCACATGGAACAAGCATTGCGTAAAAAGGAGCAACAGTCTCGTGAATGATCCGTCCCGAGCGAAAATTCCAGTGTAGGCCAATTTACTGTCGAAGGAGTATTCTCCCTTTCGATGCAGGTTTTAGCTTATGGCATCCTACGGGGAGATTGTTGGGCACGTTGTATGGTTATAGTGTCTGGATTAGGCGTCAATCACGGCACCGTTCTCGGTGCCTGAACTGCTTTTCGTCTTCGTCGCATAGACTCGTTTATGCGCGACCTCTTTGTCACCTAAATTTTCTCCTGTCCTATTCTTCCTTTCGTCTGTTTCGGCAACAACTTCGATGTCTCGAAGCTCCTGCCACTGCTAAAGCACTTCGCTCATGAATATTTTATTGAAATGAAGTGCTCTAAAGCTGCCAGCAGACAATAGGGTAACAGAAAAGGCGCCCATAGAAAAAACTACGCAGCTAAAGTAGCCACAGCCTCCGCCGCAGCAGCAGCAAGTAAGTGGAATCTTAGCCGCGTCGTGATCCTTTGCCGTTAGGAATGAAACGAAAAAGACTGTCGTGCGTACGCCGACGTGCTATGAAAGGATAAGATGAGCTTTATCGATGTATTGGCCCCTAGATGTAATTAGACGGTAGACGTAATGTAAATTTGAAGTAGAATATTGATGCGTGTATAGATGTATTGTACGTAGAGAGGGTGTGACAACTTTTTGATTGTACGTTTGTTTGGGGGTGTGGACGCGTGGACTTAGGTCAACTTTTGAATAATGAAAATTTCTTTCAAAATGCTATTCGAAGTATGGAAATATCGCAGAAGTACAAACACGATACCGGGCACATTCATCTGGGTGCCCTGTAACATATTGGACAGTCGCAAAGACAAGTTTGAAGCGGGTGAAACTGTTCAGGATATTTATAGATATAGAATAGTTGGAGAAACCAAGAATGCAGAAACCGGCTTCACTGGCTAAAAAAGGCTACTGGAAATTTATGGAGAAGTATTTTAAAAAATCCCTAAGACAATCAGGTCGTGAGCTTGGGATCAGTTGATCATATGTCTATTTTATTTTCGGGCATTGTAAATGGATTATTCCAGTGATGGTATATGCTGTCAATAAGGATAATCCAGACCGAAGGAAGCATTTAAAGAATGGTACTTGGAAAAGTCAATAGGGTATATTATTTTCGGGTAAAATTATTTGCAACAATCGAAGTAACACTGAATTCAAATGGCGCAACTGATTGACGTAATTACGTCTGCTTGGTAACAGTAAATCTACATATTAGATAGAAACATTGCGTAAATTTACTAATGTGAAACAGCATTCTGAGCAATAGATGAAGTATACCATTCTTTTTGAATTTACCGCGAGCATTTTTATTTCAAGTGGGTTGGACGGAGAGGTACGATGGAATACGTTAATTGTACGGACCTGACATCGATAGACTTTACTTGTGGATGTACCTTTGAGATTTATAGTAGAGAATTGACGATACTGGATGGTATGAAAGAGCGGAAATGCACCATAACAGTAGATAATAATAGTTCACTATTATCAGCAATGTATTGACTAGACCGACAGTAAAACGAAAAGCTGTCTATATGTACATTTTTCTGCAAATGTTAACAAATATTTATCATCTATGATACATAAACTGATGTTATAGCCATTTAAACTACGTATAGGTTTTTTTTTAGGACAACCTGTGTGATACAAAGGCTTAAGAAAACGACGATGCTTTTAGTAAAGACTGATAGTAGTCTTAGTTCAAGTTTAATCATCTAGTTCGATCCCGTCGGCACCTCGTCTCTTATACGATGGTGATGCTAGCCATTCGAATTTTTATCATCTTGAATAGAAATGTTTGGTTAAAATGAAAAAATAGCGATTCAAAAGAAAGAGATAATACAGTACACTTAATGTGTTGCCATCTAGGCGCCCGTTGGTGCGGTAGCTGCTCAAATTGTGCCTCAGAGATTGCGCTTTGTTGGGAACTATTTTCGTGTCTATGTGTATTTCTTCAGACACAGCGGATCTATCAGACGTGTCTGAATTTTAAATATAGATACAATGTAAGATCTATAGTACATAATATTGAATTCGATGCTCAACGATAAAGAACACTGCATCGGTCTATTAAATTGTAGAAATGTAATTGTTCGTCAGTCGAGCCCAGCAAGAATCATGTGCTCACAATACTGGAAGCTGGTCCGTATTCAGTTAAGTTGCATCGAAAAGTAGATACAACTTACAAACAATTTCGATGTTATTCTACGCTGGTCACCAACAAATAGCGGCTTAGTTTTATCATTTGCCTCGAATGCATAGTTCTTCCTGAACCAAGAACGTGTACCTGCAACAGTTTCCTTTTAATTAGCGCTGTTACCGTTAACATCTAACTAGGTACGTGCCAATACAAAGTGAATTATAAATCACATAGTATAAATTGAAATTTTTTATCTGCATTCTGTCGCATTACCGACGCATTGGCCGGCTGTGTCCTTAGTGATCCGACCACACTCCCAACAGCAAGAGATTACATCATTGAGTACACACACACACACTGCGGAACAGGAGACACTCGATCCACTCTATATGTGAAGAGCTATTTGATTTGTTGCAGAAGAGGCTGGCCATTACTGCGCCACTAGAAAACCAACATACAGTCGTACTAGTCTAGGATGGCCTAGTATGTTTGCCTTGCCTTCAGAACAAACGAAGCTACATAGCACATTCGACTCTATCTTCCCGCGCGCAAACTC